AGTTCAGTTTCCATCTTGAATTCGGCAAATGTGGAGTTGTTTTATTTTAACGCTCTAACATTAGCTTACGTGCGGTTCTACATTCCAAATTTCAGCATTCTAGTTCTTCAACTAATATGATTTCTGGCATATTGGAAAATGTATTTTCCGATTTGTCATTCATATTGAAGTATATCGATAGTTAATTATTCTAAAGCCTATCGAATTGCATTTTATGTTAGCAATCTCGAAATGACATAATGTTGTTCAGTCTGTCGACAAAGCTCAGAGATGAAAGTCAAAACTGTGAAAAATTGAAGAAGAAGAATTGAAAAGAAAACAACAAAATAAAAGTAATCGTGTGGTTTATGTGACTTGGGACAGTAAAAAACATGAAATTGGGTCAATAATTCAAGGTAATAAAGAAAGTATTTTGCAATAATGAATATGAATAAATATTTCGTTATTCGATGTGCCCTAAATAGGTCGCCATTGTGTGGAGTCCAAATTAACCTGTGAAAATGGGTGGCTCGGGTGGGATATACTCAAATGTCGAAACTGAATTTTGAAGGCGAATAATGTGTCTGAAGTCTTTGGCTTCGATAGAAATAATATGGAAGAACGTGAAAATAGTGCGGTCATGAGAAAATACTTAAGCAAGAGATAAAAGAACCTATGATTCCTAAATTCAATGATTTTTTGATGCCAAGACCAATTTAATTAAATGTTGGGGCACCTGGAAGGTCACTTCCGAATACAATTGAATCGCATCAAAATGTTCAGAATAAGGAAATTTGGGCTGTTACTAAGGGTGGGCTTGACAATTTACCGATTTCATGTCGAGACACTGGCACCGTTACGAAGGATACTAATGAGAATTGGGATGCCACCCATGGTGGACGTATAATTTTACCATTGCGTCGTGGTGGCTGCTCTCAAGTCTCACCAAAGTCCAAAGTGAAGGATACTCAATTGTTGCCAACTCCTTTCAGCGATATGCGCAATCTTCAGGTAGCTAGCCGAAGACGAATGCTTGAGGATGTGGGTTACCAAATCGCTCCTTTCCCAAGAAGAATTTTTAGTTCTTTGGATAATCCATCGGCTACTCCAAAAAGGATGGGAAATCATTTGGGAAATCCAATGGCCACACCTCGTTGGAAAGTGAACGACAGCCTAAAAGATATCGTGTAGTTCGACCCTCGTCAGTGAAATACCTGAGTGGTATGCTCACCGCTTGTCAAAAACTGCAACAGATCAGGTTGGTGATTTGATTTATGGTAAGTTCTTGACTAAAATATCAATAAGTTTATATGCAAGTAATAATTATATTATTGATAGACCGGTATTTTATCTTGACAAACATGACAGTCAGTCGTCTGACATCCGTTTGGCTTTGCTGGGACATTTAGCTGGCGCAATTTATTTCGGCACAATTGAAGCTAGAGACTAGAAATTTGGAACACATATTCGTGTATATTCCCGATTTATAAAGTGTTAAAATTTTCCCGTTCCGCCCACTAGAGTCGTGGCAAATCGCCGTGGCAATGCCAGAATTCATATTAGTTGAAGAGTTAGAAAGCTGAAATTTGGTATATTGATTCATGTTGACCTCCCAGGACCAACAGGCCCCATTGGGGGCGCAGCAAATGGGATAAAACTGTATCTCCTAGAGTTTTAAAGCTAGAACGCTGCACATAAGCATTATCTTTCTATAAAGATTAATGAAAAACAAGTAAGAAAGCTCTAGTAGAGACTGCTCGACAACGAGATCCCCACTGCATGGGCTGCAGTGTGCGCTTACTATAATAACTTAATTGTTTAATAATTTTTCTTATGGATGTACCTCCTTCATGAAAGTTTTAGTTTATTATAACATGAATATGCATACATTTGCCAAAGCACAAGTCTCTAGTATTTGAAATACG